TTTTCCAGAAACTACTAAAATAATAGTCGTTAGGAAGTCCTAGGTATATGCCTACATATCATTGACCCAAAAAACCACCCCAACTGATCGGCATATATGCCATACATGGAGTGTCTGGGATATGGCACTGCGTCAAAACAGGGCGTCCTCGTTGACCACTGAAAGGTGATCAGAATCGATTCCGGCAGATGTATGGCGCGGATGGACCGGATGGTTTTGTTTGCCACAGGTGGGGCCGCCACGTGGACGGGACGATGCGGAGATTGAGAAGCTCTTCGGGGGTGACCAAGCTGCGTTTGGCGAGTGCCCAGCTGAAGTTCAAGAAGCTGCATGTTCTAAACTCCGAGTCACTAACATGGAACGGGAGAACCACCTGTTGTAGTTTGTAAAAGAAAATGGTCCGAAATTTTCCCGTTCCATGATGATTTCTGGAAGTGTATCATGTGTGTCGCAAGTTTCAAGCCGAGGTTGTAAGCATCCCATACTGGTCCACACTCATCCTCATATCCAACATGGAATGTGGGAAGTTGAACATAGCCGCATGGGGATGCAACTTCCAGTTGCATTTGCCTTCACCAGCCGGGTCTAAGGGCCTAACATTTCTCCAGCAACTTCATCCGGACCAGATCAGTGCGATGGAATTGTCCAGACACTATGTATGGAATAGACCCTCCCTCCAGCGATCATGGAAGTGGATGGCCTGGCCCCTGCGAAGACGATTTTCCTCTACAAGTAGGGGGGGTGAACTCCATGAAACCAACCCTGAAACCCTGAAACCACCCCAACTGAACAGTATACAGAGGCCATGACGTGGGTCATATCACAAACGATCTCTTCTTTTTAGTCTTTTGATACATACCACAGTACATACCACCTTTGTTTGAGGAAAGCGGTCTTCCGAAGAGCATCCTCAATTTGTTCAATCCACATCACCTGATCCCTTGGAAGCTCAGATCATCATCGGTCCATCAACCCGAGTCCATCGGCAACCCGTGCGACCCGGGTCCATCTCAGCCCGGCCGGTATAGTCGGCCCTTGACCTTAAGAGTCCGAAAGGGGGAGCTCTCTTTATTTAATACATGGCTGTGGGATGCTGTGGGGTCCCAGAACCGAACCAGTCCACCATGGCTGCCGCGAACGAGCGTTCTTCCAGGGCAAAACCATTCGGTCTGCTGCCATGATCCACGTCCATATTGGGCCCGCCCAGCATTGAGTGACTTGATCTTCTTGCGTGCAAGAAACCCTCCTAAAGGTCCAATGACTCTTCTAATTTCATCTCCAACCGACCAGATCTTCCACTTGCAGAATCTATGTAGCGAGTCGCTGTCGCTCCAACTGACGCTCCAATGACACCTGCACATCCACATCCATCGCACAATCCGGATAATCCGACGTTTTCCAACGTCGATGGCCCACTTTGCTTGGGCTCTCCTGTGTTGACCTTCACCGTTTTCGGAAACCGCGCAAACGCGTTTGGCCCCGGTCAACCGGTGCCGGTGTCCCACCGAGTTCTGGACTACAACCAGGATGGGCTGCTCTCCGGCGAGGAGTTGCGCGCATGGATCCAGAAGGAGGAGTTGCTGCCCGACCCCGCACGGTCCGCTGTTAGGGTCCGCTAGACCCGTGGCTGGAAGATGCTACTGATGCTACTGTTGTTGTTTTTTCGGGCTCAGAAGCGACAAGCGACACGACTCTAGACGTAGTCGCATCTGTCACCATCACTTGATACGTCTAAGGTTAGGACGTGGGGAGAAGACGGAGTTAGGAAACCTATGACAGACTCCCCCTGCAGATGTTCACGCGCGACAGCACACCATGGTGCAAGTGACGGTCAGAGATTGTACCACCCGCAATTTCGGGAGGAAACCTGCACCTGGCGGTTTTGCTGGGATGTTTCGCAGAAAGGGGAAGACTTGCCGGCCATTGTTTTGTTCCTGAACCGTTTTTGCACATACTTTGTGCAAATGTGTGCTCGACATGTTGAACTGTTTCTGTGGCATTTGGGCAATTGCTCAAATGAAGGCCGGAATCTTGAGCTTGCTAATACTCTCCACTGGCTTGCTATGTGTTTGTTCTTGCTCTTGCAGGGGCACCAAGTCCATTTCGTCGCTGCAGGACGATGTGATGAACGACGAAGAGGCGGAGGAGGAGGCGCGGAATCCCTTGCGCGACCGCGGAAGTCGGGGTTCCGGAGCGCGGAAGTTCCGGCGTGAAGGACATGTCGCAGCACCGGGTAACGGCATCTTCCACTTGGACCAGCAGAAATTCCCCAGTATGCTCAATGATCCAGGTGTGATAGAGTTTAGAGGAGTGAATTCTAGTTCCTTGTTTTGGAGAGTGATCCGGCTCCCTTAATTGGAAAGCTACCTGAATTCGGAGGATTTCCCCTTCATTTGTGGCGGATGTTGTGCAAGAGTTCACGGATGGGAACCCAAAGCCATCACCCAGACGCTCATTCGAGGAACCAAGGGCTATTTGGAGCGTCTGGGCAGTTAAGATCTTTTAAGCCTACCCTGTCAGTCTGTCACATCCTTTAACCTTTTTGGGGGATTCGTGTCCCCACTGAACCAGAACAGGTTGGGAACAGGTTAACCAATTCATGTTCCAAGGAAACTGAGGCAATCAGTTAAGGAAGGAGCTTTGCTCAACTTCATTTCATCCCTAGCTCCCCTAAGCCCTATGCCACTTTGTGGAAGGACAAGAGATGTCATGGGACATGACGGGTGCCATGCAATGGAGCAACAATCTCTCATCTCATTGTTTTTTGGACCCACAACAACGACACAACAACGTATATATTCATAAGTACCAGCAATCCAGACTGCCAAATCTCCTCGTTCGAGGGTTGTTGGGACCTAACAGGTCAAACCATTGGTGACCTGTGAAGTCGGATGCTAAGGCCAGGAGCTACGACAGTAGCTAGTAGCGTCCGCTACTTGGATGATGTTCAATCGAAGTAAGCAGGGTGGAGTGGAGCGCTCTCCCACAGTGGAGTGCCCGAAGAGGAACCTTCCCGAAGACTCAACGACCGAGCCTGTCGCGCCGTCCTCGGAAATTGTTCTGCGCGAGAAAGACCCGGACCTTTCCAAAGAGGTAGACCTATGCAGTGTTCAAACCTCGAATGAGGAAATGCTGTAGACATATTGTAGACATGCAACCACCAAACATTTCACCTATGGCTTCATTGGTGGGGGGTGGATCCCCCAAAAAGCAGGGGTGATCACTTCAGGCTCTTCACCGACGTCTTGTGTAAGTTCAGCTTGGTTTGTTTGGAGTTAGGCTCACTTCCTCCCGCCTACGGAACACGAAGTCTCCATCGCACGGGCCACTCGGCAGGCCAAAGTGGCCTTGGAGGTCTTTGACCACGACAAGGATCTCAGCCTTAACAAGGCCGAGCTGGTCGCGCCGAGAGAGTCTGAGTCGGGTGTGAGTCGGGTGTGAGTTTTCCAGCTGAAACAGCACCTGCTGGTGCGGGTCCTGGGGAGGGATGCTGCTGCGTTTTCGGCGTTCATGTGGTTTGCATGGGACAAATGGTTTTCTATTAAGGAGAAGCATACATATGTGTCCACCAATGTTTGGCTGGCTACAACTTTGACAAATACCACTTAGTTACTTAGTCACTAAGTCAATTTGGCACCGGCAACCAAGTTTCCAGCCAGTGGTTTTCTTTGAAGGCCTGACTCTGTTGTCAATCACAAGTCATTCCCCATGAAAGATGTGACTTTGAGCACTGCCTACATTGTCTAGGAGGTGACTTTGGAAGATGATTATTCTTTAGTGACATATTCTGACAGCGTGCACATGTCAGAATAGCCGCTTGGTGAACATCCCCTGACTTCTTGACCTTAAGCTGTTCGTTCTTTCCAACCACCCCACACCGCCGGAAAAAAAACGCGGATTCCAACGGCGCCAACCCCGTCGTTCGATCCAACAGCCCCTATAGGCGGAGTTCAAGGAAGCCATCAATTCCAGAGAGGCCGAGCAGAGCCGGGCGCGCAGTGAGTGCGATCGCTGTTCGCGCGAGGGTGCGACGTGATGCGAAGCCGGGGGCTTTCACAGCGGCTGGGGAATTCATGCAGGACACGGAAAGGTGCCGCCTGAGAATTCCAGGTGTCCGGTCTTCGGCTCAGGGAATTTCCGGGTTGCTTTTTTTTGCGTAGGTCCTTTGGGTGTGATGAGGTGTTTTGGGGTTGATGTTGATTCTCCATCTGAAGTTGGCTCCTCCTTTCTGTGACCCAAGAGTCCAACAGCCAGTGCCTTAACAGTTTGGAGCGGACTAGGTGTTTCTCGTTCCATGTCTGACGCTGCCCCACCGTCGTCGCGTCGTGCCCAATGAGATCGTTGGTGTTTCGGGTTCCAAGACTGCTCCTTGGAGGTTATCGGTCTAGGAAGTGTTTTTTGGATGCTTTCAGCATTTGAGACTGAGATGCGCACTCATCAACCCAAAAAAACACACACATGTATCTTTACCACGATGGGCCGGCCGCCTTCCACACACACACACCCTATAATAATATGTACCTGGAGCCTGGAACGACTGCTTTCTTTTACTTTGGTTGTCTCTTCAAACGACCGTATATGTCTTTAAGCGACCATTAAAACCAAAAAAATGTTTTTTCTTAAACGACCGATGTTTTGTCATTATGATGATGTTCAACACCTATTACATGCACAATGCAAATCGAGCAATTGAAGTACAAAACACGAGGCAATTCGGTAATTCTGTATGTTTCATTATGTTTCTATGCATGCACATTGCAAAACACAAGCTAATTCTGTATGTCAATACATGCACACACTGCAAAACACAAGGGAATTATGTAGTTCACAATATCCATACAATGTCCATATACGTGATTTTGATGTGCTTTAGCAAGTACATCTGTGCTTTTGTAAGCACACCCTTTTCATGTGCTTTCGCAAGCACATCACTTTCCATGTCTTTGGATATTTCATCATGCATGCAACCTGCAGCATCTATTAAAAGGGGTTCAGTGTTTTGGTGACTATGTGCAATCGTCGCGGCCTGAGATTGTTGCATGTGGCCACAAGTCGCTTGCGTAATTCTTTTGAGAAGATTTTGACGCTGTCTTGCATGTGGCCATGGGAGAGGGCTGCAACATTGAAGAGGCTTTGGCACAGATACCGCCATATCCGTTTGCAGCTCATGAGAAGTGAAACTCTTGGAGCGGTGGGAAGATCTTAGTCCTAGTGTACCTGTATACACGAGGATGCCAAAACACGTCAACAGAGCATATATGCAACCTGCCACTTGCACCGACTGCCAAGCATTGACAACGAGCATTATGAGTCGGTATGTCTTTGGCATGATCAGCAATGTGTTCAACATAGTCCACAAGCGCTTCTACGAAAGCAGCGTGGAAGTATGCAGGACTGCTCATATGACACCGTCACCCGCTGCGTCAAAGTATTCCCAGAAACCAACGACGATGGGAACTACAAGGAGCAGCGCCATCGAAAGCATCACCTACCGCAGAATCTGCAGCACGTCTATCACACCAGCATCAAAGCCGAAGCCATCGCAAGGTCCAGAACATGATCGAGATGCCAGATCTTCACAAGACGTTCCACCACCATCTCGTGCTTCAGAACCCAAGGGTAAAGGAGACGAGGATGCAAGACCACCTGACACCACCTATCGTGGAGCCTGAGTTGGTGAATGCACACACCTGGACGCAAACGATTTGTATTATGAAGAATATCATCTACGCGGTCCAGACCCAGTGCACCCTCCTGAACAGCATCACTGAACGACGAGGTAAAGGGAAAGGCCATGAATGGCAAGATTGGTAGGAAGACTAGAGGCTGGATCGATCGAAATGACAAGTCAGGGCGAAGGCGGCAGTGAGCGTGGTGATATCTACATGTTGAAGTGTGCAGGTAGAGCGAACCCTTGTTCAATGCTGCCCTGGCCCGGGGAGACACCCAGCTTGTCCGTGAAGAAGGTGGAGTTCATGGCGCAAATTCGTGGTGGGCAGGGAGAAGGGCAGTGACCAGACTGTGCAGACTCAGGGTCAGCGAAAGCTAGATGCTGAAGAATACAAGGCTCTGGGGGACGTTTTTGGAAAGCTGAAATAGCAATTGAAGCACAGGGCTGGGGATCAAAAAGCCTTGGAAGCACACCACCTCCCATCGAACTACGAGCAGTTGATCAAAAAGGCACTTGAGGGATTCTTGCGAGAGGCTCTCGAAGGAAACGTTGAAGTTGGAGAAGGATGCCGGGCTCAGTCGGGACAAGACAGCGTGCTTGAAAGACGGCTACCAATCTATGCGCCGGCACTTGCGCATGCTGATGCGCCTGAGCTCGTTTTGTGAATTCCCTGATTCGACTCCGTTGACGGTTCAAGGCTTCGAGTCCGCCATGAACGATGTTGCCCTCAGCGTCGACCAGCTCAACGCCAAGTATGAGGAGCTAAAGGGTTACCTCAAGGCGAAGAAGAACTAGCTATATAAGCAGAAGTGATGCCTGCAGCTAGCTAAGCAGAAGTGATGCCTGGTTGTTTTTTGGACCATGACCGTCTAGAGGTTAAGCGCAAAGTCTTTCGCGGATCACACCTCTTCAAACTGAACCACCAAATAAGGGTCGACCGCGACAACCGGGTAGGAGTTGGACAAGCACTGCCAAACAACAATCACAACTGTGAGAAACTACGCGTAAAGACTGACCGTGCCTTGGAACTCCCGGATGCATTGAGGCCAGTTTGCAGTTGGAGAATATGAGCTTCACCGGCTGGATTAATGATGATGAAAATGAAGACGGAAGTACGAGGACTAGGCATGGAACCGTTTCAAGCTGTTTGAGAACCGTTCTGAACCATTACTTCTCAATCGTTCACGCTGAAAGAGCGCGGGTATAGCCCGAGACCAAGTGCAAGTGAGTGAGTGCATTTGTGCCTAGATCCGTTCATTTTCCACTCAACCCTCAGCTCAAAATCATGACAGTACATGAGATATGACATTGCCCAGCCCGTTGAACGAAACGAGTGTATTTGATATTTTTCCGAATTGGGAGGGAACACTGCCAAGTTCAGCAAACGCACCCCCCTTGCTTTTTGGCAGATCATGTCTAACGCTCCACTTCTATTTGTGACTTGATATATGTCAGGAGGAAGACAGGTTTGTGCTTCTTGCCTTCCTTCCAACATCTATGCGGATCAGCCGCGGTCGATTTAGACAGGGTCTGGCTTGAACCGTTGGCGAGAACATTTTCCAGAGAATGCATTTTTGAATTTTTGGATTTCTATTGAAGATTTCGGCAGAAAGGGGGAGTGGTCAGAGGCAGGGGATCCAACTCCACCGACCGATGCTCCACGTAGAGTTGAAGACTGGATCTTTGTTGAAGCAGTTCATGACTGTGCGGGCCGTGGTGCTCTCCTGCTGAATCGAGTGCGAAATCTTACGTTGAAGCCCTTGAAGACTTGAGTTTTGACGTTGGTACCTCGTAGATGGCCCTCAGCCGCAGAGGCTCCTATAAGCCCCCAAGGCCCAAGGTTTTCCAATCAAGCTGCGCAAAGGGTTGGCGCATCATCCTTCATCACTGGGACTGGAGGACC